ATTAATTAAAGTGAGAATTAGAAATGAATTAGAATTAGAATTAAATTTACACAGCAATACGATAAGAATAAAAATAATTTAAAGAAGCTTCAAACTGCTGTGCAGGACATTCAAGTCAGTCAAAAACTGTTAGAAGAATACCCTTCTAGTATAGGGACATAAAATCAAAACATATAATATGTTATAAGCTATAAGTTAATGAATATGGTACAGTGAGATTTAACATTAAACTTTGGGTATGAAGGTAACCATTAAATTCAAAATGATACGAAAATTACATAGATACCCACTTGGCACTTTTATATTTGCTGTCAGAATTATGTATAAAGAAGTATATAACCATAGAGTGAAAAATGGCAACCGGTCAGACGTGGTAAACGGATAAAGTAAGAGAGACATACGTCATACAGTTCTATACTTCTTTAATTAAGTTAAAATGAGGTAGGCAGTCATAGACTTGCGGCTTAATTTGGTCAGTAAAACACAGGGGACCCTGCTACTTAACAAAAACTCCGAAACACAGAATAAAATCAAAGATCAAGTGAATAACAATATACTTCTAAGTTCTAGGATATTCTAGGTGCTGTACTTACTTACTTTACTTGCTTTAAAATGTCTTTGAATGAATTCTTTGCAAAAATGATATTTGTGCCCAGCTTTAATTTAACCAAGCAGTTGAACTTTAAGATAGGTCATAACCTGAGCGATAAATTTGGAAACTTAAGTGATCTGTAATTGCCAATTTACATTAGCAAGGCCCTATCATGTAATTACAGTGTATAATCAATTGTAGGTTTACAACCTACCAGGACGCGCGCCGAGTTGGACTCGTCGACGGATCTGTTCCAATATATGGAACAGATATTTTACGAGTATCACCCGTTAATATAATCAAGCACAGAAAATATTCCACTTTAAACTGTTTGATAAAACAAAAGAAACTTCAAGTAGATAATTGCAGTAAAATAGTGGACAATCCTTGGTTTCGAGAGTTTCAAACAAAATTAAAACGTTTATGAAATCAACCAGAAAATAACAGTGAAAAAGCGAATAATATGCGCATAGCGCTCGATTTCTATCGTCAATTCGATTTTTTCATGCGTTTTACGAGTGCGCGGCGTAAAAATCGCGATCTTGATGAACGCTGAGCTAACATTGCTACCCGGTGGATAAAAATTATTTACATCTTGACTAAAACATTGGTATAAAATTTTGTACAATCGAAGAAAAAAAAATTCTGTGCTCGCGCTTGGCGCTTATTACACTGACTACTAATAGAAAGAGAGCTACGTCATAGTGTTCTGCAGCACCTGTGCGCAAAGGTTGCTGAATTAAGGCAGTATACGTGCACTGCGCAGTAACGTAACCAATCGAGTTCTAAGTGAGATTTGCTTTCATGCTTGTCTGCGGTGCTTACGTGAATGGCCGGGGAAAGAGCAAAATGAAGGACTCACATATCAGGCATCATGCAGACTCCAGAATGAATTGCACCAACGCCGACCGGCGGCATTTGCAATGTTATCTTCGATGTATAGAAAAATTATACAATTGTAAAATGTACTTTCAATTGCTCCTTATAAATAATAATTAAAAGTACGCCCGAAAGTCGTTTTCGTACGGTTGTCAAATTATAATAACCAGCTATTCCCTTTTCTATATCGTATCAGGAAATTACCGCTATTTCGTATTCTCCAATGGTAATACCCTCACGTAAAATTAAAATCCCAGGCTAACTATAATGGCGAGGTTGAGACTGAGTTGAGAGTAAAAGATCCGGTACCCAATAGAATTAGCTTAGAAAAGTCAGAGTCCAAAGCTTATGGCAATGGTTCAGTACAATTCTCGGCCACCAGGAAGTGTGTAACTTTATTCTGAGACACAATCGGTGGAGAGTCGCAATTGTTCTGCTGCTTCTTTGCACTCTGTACCCTCAATCGCCATACAGGACTTTGTTCTTTTCTTCTCCAGGTTGTGGATTTCCAACTCTCTGTAAATACTATCTAACGTGTCTTTTTCTGTTTTGTTCGTTTGTTGCGGCAGGATTTTGGTCAGGACGATTTTAGATTAAGAGATCTAACGGAAAGTTAGCCTCGGGTGTGGAGAACTGGTTATCAATACCCAAATAGTTATAATTCATAAAATTATTGAAGCTATTTTCTTACTGATTTTACGAGACAAATAGGAGTGGTTATTTCCTAGCAGTAAGTTTGATTTACCGGCGCCGCTGCTTAAATGTTGCAACACCGCCAATTTGCTTTGCATATTATGGCATAAAAGGCGTGCATATTATGTGCATATTAAGATTAACCCGTTAGGTACGACGAGTTTTAACCCATTAGGGACGACGAGTTTTAAAGTTTGCCGATTTTGATGCCATTTAACACACTAGGTCACTTCACAGCAAAAATAAGATATCCAAAACAGCTAATATGTATCTCGTTTACTTAAAAGTGGGCACCAACTTGTTGTTGCGATTGACGATTCGTATCGGTTAAACAAAATTGAAAAGTAATTGATGAAGCATATTTATTATTTACCGTGTACAATGGTACACACTCGGGACGAACCTTTTAGTTAAACTTAAAGCTTCCAGTATGTAAGGATTAGTTAGGATGAATTGAACATAAATGGATCCGATAGCCAATAAACGGCTGGGAATGGAGAAAACGGTAATTTTAAAAGACAATTTACAAAAATGTACCTATAATCAAGCACGTCTTGCAAAAGCGATAAGCGACTTGTAACTTGTCTAAGACTAAACAAAGGCAATCCATTCGAAGCGATGAAGTAAACTGTGAAGGATTAGTAAACTCCAGCTCCATGGGAATATTCCAGAAATCAAAATATGATTTATAACACCAGAAGCGTTTAGCTACACGCTAATCAAACTTCACTTTCGATGCATTTGACGGCCACTGAAATTTTAATCGCACCGATTTGTTTTTGCTCCTCCAGGCTAAAGTTTTGGCTGCGCCTCTTGAAATAACTGCAATAATTGAACTCGGCTTCGCTTCGTGCGATTATTGTATCAATTTGCACTCTGCTCCACACACCAGTTTAGCTAAGATCTGTCCTCAATTTATGTGTCACTTCTCAGTTTGTAGCAGGTTGTGTCATCATCTCCAGTACCCTACACTAAAGAGCAGATCAGCTAAATTCTACTTTGTAATAGTGTGTATCCACCGTCACACCACCACTCTTCAGAGGCTAAGTGGGGCCGACTTTTGTGTCTTATCATAAATGACCGTCTAACTCTATTGCCATTAGTGACTGTACACAACAATGGTATCACAATGTTTGTACCCACTATCACTACGACCATGATGATATTATTATTTGCCGAGAGGTTATCGTCTTAACGCAGTGATCTCAACTGAGACCGATATAGTGAACTATTCGTGTGAGTGACTCGTGACTTTAAACGAACAATGGTCACTGAGTTATATTACCTGTACAGTAGAAACATGAAGCAATCCTGTATTATAATAACTGTCAGCTTAGCAGAGTTCATGTAATCGACATCCTTTTCTCCGGCGATTTGACCATAAAAGGGTAGTAGTCGTGCAGTTGAACGGCGTATAATACAACTACAAGACCGCTGCGTGCTTGGCTTTTGTACCTAATCTCTTTTCTGGGTAGTGAGCCTTATACTCTAAATCCAAAGTTCTGCAGCTTTCAAATTGTCGTTCATGTATTCATCTTGAATATTCATTATTCAAAGGACGAATCCGTAACTTTGAGCATTTAGTTCTGGTTTTACTTACTCTGGAGACTGATTCACAGTGAATATTCCGTGTAATTTTGTTTGCTGTAGTAATCTAAAGGGCAGAGGCAGTATTGGCCATCATCTCATTTACATAGTGCAACCCTAGTGCAGTGTATAGTGCAGTATTACAGTATAGTCCAGTACCCCTAGTGCAGTGTATAGTGCAGTATTATAGTATAGTGCAGTACCCCTAGTGCAGTGTGTAATGTGTAGTGTGCAGTGCCCCTAACAGAGGTACAGCGTCCCACATTCTGCTCCAACCTTGGCAATTACATACATCAGAGTCACGATCGATTATATAAGGCCGGAATAGAGTGCTCCTGATAAAGTTCATGCACTATTATATGTCGACAGCCACATCGTGATTAATCTGACATCCCATTTATATGTCGTTAGCTCAAATTTGGGTTCATTAACCGCTAACATTTATGGCATAATTGACATGCTTATCACCAGCCTTGGCCTTTTACCAATCGGTAAAATTCTGTGAATATCTGTCAGAGTGCCTGGTTACTATCTGATCGTTTTTTCGTCCCTGATTTTGCTAAGCCAGTTTGAGGAGATCTGTTTTTATTGGAACTGATCAGTCTGGCGGAACAGTCCCTGTATTACTATTAGTGCATTGCTCATACAGTGAGCACTATCCAGAATGTGTAATTCTCTCTGCGTCTCTGTGTGATATGTCACAGTAGTTTTTCGTGCAATCAGCTGATTTGATTGCGCTCACCTTAGCAATTCTTTTGTTGCAAAACTGAAAGCATCGCGTGGTCGGTGCATTTTTAAAAAATATATTGACCATATATGCTTTTATAACTTGGCCATTCGAAGGTTTGCAGTTGCTGTATGCTTTAACTTTTGGCAGTATTATATGGTATATGTACAACCATAATGATAAACCATTATACTTATCTGTACATGAACGATTTGTATCCCTTCTATCATAGTTATTTCTCCTCTAGCCTAGAATCTAAGCTGTAAATGTAAAGGACAAATCACCTTCTGAGCGAGCTAGAGTCGTATTGTCCGGGTCAACTGGCACACCAAGGGATGATTAGATAACTCATTTCCTTGAGAAGAGGGCAGTATGGTCACGTGGTTACCATAGCAACTAATGGTGCCGACCCGCACACTCAAACAGTGCCCCTTTGGCTTCTGGTAAAGCGTAAGACGGAAATAATTAACTAGTAAAATAATCAGATGTTTAGGCTGGATGCGTAGCTTCTGAGTGTCGCGTGCTTACCGCTTGAGCAACCCAGTTTAAGTTTAACATCCGTGATTTGCGTAACATGTGTATTGTGTATTGGAGACCTATTTCAGTGTACTGAGGAAGCCATCTTGGCTCCTAATTGGGGCGTCAGCATTTGTTAAGAGATTTAATTTATTAAGCCTCAAAACTTTCAGTCGTCTCTTTAAGATTCGTGAACTGTAATTATGACGTCCTGTACCATGTACCATGTACCCTGTACCCTGCTGTACCCTGCATGTCCTCAATAGAAAGCTCACACAGGGGGCTAGAATAATCCACTGATTCCAGTACAGATCTAAATGTAAGCGAGCTGTACCTTCCTAAGGGAGCACCAGCTCGGCTCGGGGGCAGCTCCATTTGACCATTTTGGGAGCAGTACTACTCGGCTCATTCTCCCTTTATAACAATGATCTGTGGCTTTTGTAGCAGTATTACACCGGTTCAGTCCCCAGCCGTTCACAATGAGCCATTAAAACTGGTGTCTCTTTACTTGTTTGCAATTTGATAACCTTACCGATTTTAGTTGTAGTTGTGAAATTAGTGAAATCATTTTTGACGAGACTTGTACTTTTATTTTGAACCTGTTCATGTGGTATGTTTTAATTGCATGAGGACTAGTTAATTTACTTAGAAAAGCAAGCACAAAAGTGATGGTCAGGTAACGAACTGTCGTAAATATCGTTAAACTATGATAGACGAGTTTCTGAAGCTTACGACCATCGTCAAGGATTACACGTGAGTTAATAGAAGCTTCACAGAAGCAAAATGTAACTCCTAGCAGTGCAAGCAACTTCTAGTACTTGAAACTCAAACATTTATTTTGATGATACTGTAGATACTGAAACCACGCTACCGCAGGTTAGGAGCGGTAACTGGATGGTACTCTAACAACAGATTACACATCAACAATCGGGAGCTATGTCTGTGTCTTATTCTTAACTTCACCGTTTGGTCCACAATTGGTTAGTTGAGTTTTCTTAAACAGTAATTTATCCACCTTCCACCCAAACATCTTTTCTTTTCCCTTTTTCGATTCTCACAATCTGTACGTATATATTAGGTCGAGAAGAAAGTTATCACGATCCAATCTCCCAGGTTCGCTACTGCCGTACCTGCCAGTGTTTTACAGAAGTATAGGACTATCAGCTGAGCAGACCGGATTTGTAATCGCCCTGAAAAGTCTCATCGGTGGAGTTAGTTGTATATTCTGGGGCGCTTTTGCTGATAAATTCCAGGTTTGTTCATGACTGCTTTTTTGGATTAATATTAGAAGTTCCGACGATTTTGAACTGTTCACTGTTCGTAACATAGCCACGAAAGTTAGATAGATGTGTATAATTTTAATATTTTGTGTCTGTTCAGAAAAGGAAAGCAGTGTTCATCCTCTCCATCTTGTCATGGACCCTATTTGCTGCGTGCATGACTATCATCCCACCGAACGCTGTCTTCAAGAGCATGGAGGTCACCAGTTTAGTCAAGGTATGGATAAAAAACGTGATTATCATTGCCAGTGCTGATGAAACTCTTTATAACTCACTGAATCCATTTTACACTGATATAATCTTAACATAATTTGTAAATATTATTTTGTGGACAGAATCAATGAACAATTCCCAGGTGACTGATCAAGCAGGAAACGTAGTGGACATCCTGAATGGGACAGCCAAGTGTTACGAAGGGGAGGATACAGGTATCGGCAAGATGGGGGAGTGTAGTAAGAATAGTGCTAAAGGATACGCTTCTCTTACTGGACCAATTGGTATGGGAATTAAAATTAAGCTGATCTACCAAAACATTTCATTGGTCACAATCGTCAAGTTGAGTTGTGCCACATCGTGATTTGAGATTTATTCATTTTTTACTTTCTTAATTTTTATCACAATGCTGGCAACCACGATCGTCGCCATTATACTCACTATACTATTTACCCCCTATAGTTATACTAGTATACCCCCTTTACTGTTTTTCAGGCATTAAGACCCACCGAAAGTAGTTCAGCAGGCATATTTTAAGTTCAAACAATTCTAATTCAATGTCAAAGATTACAGGAATAATAAATAGTTATGTGGAGGTTTTTCAGGAATTTGCGCAAAATACGCGCCAGCACTGTTATACGATATTACTATTAGGGGTCGTTCTCGTATTACGTAATCCAAATTTAAGCAATCCCCCCCCCCCCCCCCCCTCCGTAAACAACCGTAATCAAGACACAACCCCCTCTCCTGACAGCGATATTACGTAATCATGGCCTGACCCCCCACCCCCCCCCCCTAGGCTTTTTCCCTAGAATACACTTTTCTCTACGTTTAATGCTACCCTAATCATGCTATCAATAAATCATGAAGAGCCGAAATCATTGTTATGATATACGGCCAAGCACCTTCTAAACTACTTACTATTATAGCCGGATATTCGATCAATTTCTAAATTTTATCACTACACACTATCAGAGTGAAATTGAGTGGAATTTGAATTAAAATATTGTCAAATTGTTAATGTTATTATTCTAGAGGGTAAAAAAGGAATTTTTTATTACCGGTAAAAAATTCAAAATCGCCATATTCATATGCTTTAAAAACCATGTTAAAATTGAGTTAGAGATCTGAAATTTTGAGAAAAGCGAGCGACCGATTTCATTCTCAGTATCATTTTGCATTTGCGGACGGTTATTCAAATTAATATCATTTCCTTTTGTTTGGGAAAGAGAGACACTGGCAGCGGGCCACTCTACCCATGATTATGGGTTTTAGTCAAATTTAGTCAAAGCTACAAAAAACAACCAAACTATTAACTAACAGCTAGTGCTGCAACCGAATGTTCTTTAGGCGACAACGGGACGAAAGCAGAAGTAGCTCAGATAATTGAACCTACGGGTGGAACGACAATGCAGACATTTGCTCTGTCTCTGGTTACGGTGTCAGTTTGGTCCTTTTTTGGGAGTGCTTCAGCTCCTCTACTAGACGACATTGTCTTTAGGATCATTCCTAGAGATCACAATACTTATGGGCGATTCAGAAGTGTTGGCAGCTTAGGGTAAGATATTTGCCCAATTTAAAGATACTTTCAAAACTTAGGTCGTCAGTAAAACTACAATGAATATCGGAATATTACGAGCATTTGTTTTCTTTGCTCAGCTCTGTAAATTTACATTTTACATGGACATGTTCATTGTTCATATACCATCTCACTGCACTAGGTACGGTATAGCTGCACTAATAGTGGGAGTGTTCGTAAAGGACTACATCCTCACTAAATCAGACGTTATCTTGACCCCTGACTACCGACCCTCATTTTACTTCACCATAGCTTCCTCTCTGGTGAGTGTGGTGGCTGTTCTCTTCATCCAGATGGAGGAGGAAGGCAGTCCGCTTATCCCCTCACCTCCCAAGATACCGATACTAAAGAACAAGAGGCTGCTGACACTGCTGGGGACCGTTTTCTGTCTGGGAATGTGCCACAACATGATACAGAACTTCCTTCTATGGTATAACATCTTTCTAAATATAGTAAAACCCCGATTTAGTTTGAGGGAAAGGAAACAGCCGCGGTCAATCGGGGTTTGTGGTAAATCGGGGTTTTGTTGGTATACATTGTGGCTGTGCATGTTAAGCCCTATTTTGGGGAAGGAAATTGCCGCGGTAAATCGGGGCACGGTAAATCGGGGTTTTACTGTAGTATGAAATATCATTTTTATAAATGCTTAATAATACTACATAACATATCTGGTTGATCACGTGGGAAAAAAATAACTATGCTATGTATGATAACATTATGATACTGGATACACTGTTGGCGTGCGTTTATACGTTTATCTGTTTATGACTCATGAGTCTTGTTCAGGTATATAGAAGATATAGACGGATCCCACATCTGTATGGGTATAGTTGTCCTAACTGAACATCTCAGTGAAATTCCATTCTTCTTCTTTGGAGAATACGCGATCAAGACATTCGGTCACACTCGACTGATTGCCAGCGCTTGTATTGTCTATGCTTTTAGGTAAACGGTACTTTTATTATTATATCATTTGTATTTATCATATGTTGATTGTTAAAGTCAAAATGGTGTTGCACTGGTATAGTAGGAAACGCGTAATCTGATAAAATAGAGTTTGAATTATTTTTGCTTACCTTACTCGGGATTATTACGACGGGTTTATTAACGACCGGTTAAAATATGGTTCGGGAAAAATATGGCGAAATTGCTCAAAACCCACCACATTTTCCCGGTCGCCATTTTACCGGTGTCCAACCTTTCAATTTTAGATTCGAAAATTTTGTCTCAGATGTAAATTTCCTTATTAGAGATAAGCAGGTTCAGAAATTTTCGCATTGCTAAAACTTGTGAAACAAGTCGAATTATCAATAATTGTTGAAAGTAGACTCTAGCAAATTCGTTGTTTTGAATTAGCATTACATGTTTACGTGTATCAAATAACCATTATGACTCAATTTGTAGAAAATCTTCGAAAGAATGCATCGTTCACATTGTTTAGAATTATGAATAAATGACTGATGAAACTGATTCATGTTATTGACCGTTTTAATTAATTCGAGTTTTAATTTAACTGTTACTTTTACTTTGAGTCCTATTTCATTATGTAGAGATATTCAATACCTAAGAAATTAAAAATTGGCCTATTTAAATCAACTTTGACAATAAGGATATATGACAAGAATTGGGCAAAAAGGTGAATTTTTTGCAATTTTAGCCAAATGAAGTCGAAAAACCTACAACAAGTGTCCCAATAGTCTTCTTTAGTGAATATAAGACAACCATTAAAATATGAGCACCCATACCCCTTGGGAACCCTAAAAGCTGAGTCGGCGGGTTTATTAACGACCGGTGAAAATGTGGTTCGGGAAAAATATGGCGAAATTACCCTAAACCCGCCACTTTATCCCGGTCATAATAATCCCGAGTAAGGTACTTAATCTATCAACAGGTTCTTGTCCTATTCGATCATATCAAAACCGTGGTTGATAGTTCCGTTAGAGATTGGAAATGGAGTTACATTAGCTCTGATGTGGTCAGCAGCTGCTAGCTACGTTTGTCAAGTAACTCCGCAGAAACATCAGGTTTGACAGACAGGGCTCTAGACAGTTGTATTTTACATCTTCCTGGCTTGAATTCTGCATTTTGAAAGACATAAGCATATATATGATACACTTGTACAGAAAATTTTTAGAAACTCATTTTAATTTTTCAGGCAACTACACTTGGTCTGCTTGGTGGCCTACATTTTCAACTTGGACACTTCCTGAGTGCCATTCTAGCGGGAGAATTCATCACTCACGCTGGTTTTAAAGCCGCCTGGTGGATTTATGCTACTTTTATTCTGGGTATAGGAGCTCTATACGTCACCGCAGATACTTTGCTACCCGAAATAGGTAAGTATCTTATTAGGTTTAATAACAACACTTTGCTATTTTCCGTCATACAATTCAATTGTCGAAATAATCATACACCGTCTGTTCGTAGATAACTACGAAGAGCTAGAAGGGGACAACGTCGGAAAACAACCGATGCCGTCTGAGATTATCGAAGTGACGAATGTAGCAATAGAACGGCCGACATCTTCTGTAGCGCCAGAAGAGCGGACTGTTCCAGTACTAACAGCCCAGGCAGCAGAACCTGAGATTCCTGCTCAACCAAAGGAGAGCGTTCAATAACTGTATTTATATGTTGTTAATTAATTGTTTGTGTATTTCGCTTATTTGTTTTTATTGATAATCGATAATTGTATAATTCAAAAGAGAGGACTCAATTGTTTTGTAAGTCTACTTGCACACTTTATACATCAAATATTGTACAGTTTCATTCGAAAACAGCATTTATAACAAATATACAAAGTGAATGAATAAAATGAAACATAAGAGACTGTCTAGCAGGACCATTTAAAAAGACAATAGTTTCGAAACAAGTTTTTAAACAAAATTATGACCAGAAAATAGTTATGACACGCGCGCATTCCATTGCTAGTTTATAATGCTGAAAAATAGACTTTACATATTAATTTCCGGCGTTGCCATGACAACCCATAGAAACGAGACACGGCGCGCTCCTTATGCGTTTTGAAGTAGCTATTTGTTTTCATTTGCCGTCCGTTGACCAAAAACTGGATGAATTGTTCGTAAAAATTCAGCAACACTGTCCGTAAGGGTAAGGAAAAGAGTGAACATGCAGAGAGGGAAACTTGTCTTTAAGCCACTGTAGGTTCTAGCACTTGAGGCTTGTTAGGGTTGTTCGCCATGAGCCAATCTGCGATCCAGCTCTGAAAAAGTTAATATTAGAGGTCTAGAAGTACACATGGCTAATTTAGATACAAATTCTGTTTCATAAAAATAACTTTTTAATTGAACTGATAATGTAAATATCAAACCCACCAGGGGATCCTCTGGTTTCACTTTGCATAGTTCAACAAATCCGTTAGTCAAGACTGGCATCACGTTCTTTACAAGATAATCAGTTGCTTGGTCTCCGGATGATATCGGCTCAACAATAGCTGAAACAAATTTTGGTCATGATGATAGTACGTTTTTTCGCAGGTCACCTGTTTAAAAATTACTTTAAAAAGTGGTGCACTAAATTTAAGTGCTCGCATAATTGAATTATCATTTAAATGTCAAAACTCCTCCTCATTACTCCTTCTCCCACTTATCTAGCAAGAAACCAACTCAAAATAGGTCCACTATGATCTGCATATTCATAAACAGCTCTATCCTTCATTCCTGACCCTCATGCTCACAGCCCAAGTCTCTAGTATACATCACAGCGTGTTACACAGAATGATCTACCAAATAATTGTGGTTTAATGTTATTCACTAAACTTAATGACTCTATGACAGATACCCTGTCGCTCTACCCCCTTGTTCGACAGTAATCGTCAACTCTGTCTCCCCCAAATTCGACCTCTCTCCTCTTTGTTCAGTTGCATGCATGGCATTCAAGTGTGTGTAGTGGGGTGTCACTAGGTAGGAGTCTGGTTCGCACAATTCGGTTTCGGACGTGTTCGGAATAGTTGTAGTCGGGCACACGACCACTAATATCAAATTCACTAACTTTTTCTGGCAAAACAATCTTTTGGTATGAAACTGATCAAGAAAATTTGAGGACATTTTAGAAACTTAGATTTCAGATAATAAATAGTGTTTATTAACTGTTGAGACCGTGAGTGGTAGCCACTAGCCACCTATAAATTTAGTATGGTAGATGTGATATGTCATTAAAATTTACACGACCAAAGCAATGGTGTGATAGTGGCTGCCTATTGTGATCAGAGATCCTTTCTGTTTATTGTTCAGTCCCCCTTCATTTAATATTTAATATACATATCAAACAAAGAATGGTGAACCTAAGCTGAGATCCCAGCTCATTACACATTTATTTATCTGAGCTTATCACACTCATCCAACAATGTTAAAGTGAAGAATTTCTCTCTTTTATCTTAAATTTGTTTACGCTTAACCTATCATGCCCAATTGATCATATAAAACTTATACATGCAGTGGCGTAACGCTGCAGGATGGCGCCCCAAAATTGTCCCCCATTCAAACGACGATTTGGTCACGGGCATTAGTTTGTTGGTCGATTTGGATCAGTTAAATTGCAAATTTCTCCACTTGTCATCTCAGCTACCCTGTAAGTACTATATGCTTATATGATAAGATAAATTGTACTGCAGAGCTGCAGGTGCCGGCTATTACAAAACAATTTAAATTTGGTCCCGTACTGTAGAATTGTAGCTCACCCAAACACACATTGCATTTCCTCTCTCGCCAATTATGTCACTTAGGCCAGAATTATTACCACGTGGTCAATTTTCTCTAAGTACCTCAAATTTATTTTGATGACTACCAATTTCTTTGGCAATCACCTGTTATTATATGTAGAGAATACATAGTCAATGTGGTGTTTATTTTTCAACTGATTTGCATTTCAACCTCTAATATGGCATAATAATACAGTACTTAGATTCTATTTTTATAGCCAGAAAATCCCTGTCCCGGTCTTAATCCCGGTCCCGGCCAAAATAGTGGCCCCGTTCGACCATTGTGTATAATTATCTTTTTAAACGTTCTGAATGTATAATTATCGACATATACTTGTTGATATCATATTAAATAATACCGATTCAAACTATTAAGGTTCTAGAAGATTCAAATCTCTTTGTTCTACCTTCTTGCTTATATTTCTCTCTAATTACGTGCCCAGTTATAGAGCTTAAATAGGTGGGTATTGCCTTGTGTTTTCTGTATATAGATTTTACCAGGTCCTTTATGACTTCGCAAAACTGTATCTGTGATGTAAACTGCAACTGTGCAACTTGTGCTGTATCTCACTGAACCCCACATTAGATTCTGGCACTGGTTTACACTTTTCAAACTATAATTTAGCTTGGGGTGGGGGAGCTTAAAATCCACTGCCTCTCAGCACCTCTTGTTAATGTTATGTACGTGATACACTGTACTGGCCACTTACTGGTCACGTACTGTACCGGTCACGTACTGGAATTGTCACTTACTGTACTGGACACTGGTCACTTACTGTACTGGTCACGTACAGTACTGGTCACGTACTGGTCACGCACTGGTCACGCACTGTACTGGTCACGTACTGGTCACGTACTGGTCACGCACTGTACTGGTCACTGGCCACTTACTGTACTGGTCACGAACTGTTCTGGTCGCTTACTGTACTGGTCACTTACTGGTCACGTACAGTACTGGTCACGTACTGGTCACGCACTGGTCACGCACTGTACTGGTCACTGGTCACTTACTGTACTGGTCACGTACTGTTCTGGTCGCTTACTGTACTGGTCACGCACTGGTCACGTACAGTACTGGTCACGTACTGGTCACGCACTGGTCACGCACTGTACTGGTCACGCACTTTACTGGTCACTTACTGGCCGCTTACTGTACTGGTCACGCACTGTACTGGTCACGCACTGTACTGATCACGTACTGGTCACGCACTGGTCACGCACTGTACTGGTCACTGGTCACTTACTGTACTGGTCACGTACTGTTCTGGTCGCTTACTGTACTGGTCACTTACTGGTCACGTACTGGTCACGCACTGGTCACGCACTGTACTGGTCACTGGTCACTTACTGTACTGGTCACGTACTGTTCTGGTCGCTTACTGTACTGGTCACTTACTGGTCACGTACAGTACTGGTCACGTACTGGTCACGCACTGGTCACGCACTGTACTGGTCACGTACTGTAATGGTCACTTACTGGTCGCTTACTGTACTGGTCACGTACTGTACTGGTCACTTACTGGTCGCTTACTGTACTTGCCACATTTGGGCTAGAAAGATGATACTGCTGAACCAACAGTTGCCTGGGATTCATGTGTTAACTAAAGTGGTTCATTCGGCAGAATAACCTAGATTATGTAGCAATATTTCACTTAGTCTGAAGTAACTAGATCCCTTTTAACAGTAGATTTATACTTGTATCAAATGAGGTACTATAGTAGTTGCTATTTTCTATTTTCATATTTCAGATGTCCAACTCAAGTTGCAGGGTTCTACTCGGATATTCGTTGGGGAATATTAAGCATATTTCGTGCGAACCAACTTATCGTTTAGTCTCTACTTTGCCTGTATGTATTATCAAAACCCACCCCACCCCCGGCCCACCCCCCCCCCCCCCCCCCCCCCCCCCCAATTTAGGACGTACGTGATAATGACTCATTATGTAAACGGCCGGGGACAATGATAGCACATCAAGTGCTGTGGTCTTAGAGCGGTTTGAATATATGGATGCGCGACTTGAAGATCGCTGGCACCTTTACAAGACGGAGCTCTCCTTGAGAGCTGATTACCTTACACCAGACTGGACTATTTTAGTTATCTAGACATGATTCCGCTTCAAGCTGCATTTGTTAAATGACAACCACTTTTCAACCCATTTAACTCATAATCTTATAATTCTGACGAAATGGTTGCCATATTTTGGTAACGAGCAGCAACCTACGCACTGGCTGCTAAAATATAAATGCTAATAGCTTAATAGGTTTAAGAAGGCCGGGGACCCTAACCCCAGTAATAGATTAGCCATGACACAGTTCGCGCCTGCTTATCAAATATCATATCCTGACGTGCTTTGTTTATTGACTCTTATAACTATAGCCTTATAATCTGTGTGACAGTATTCTGTGAATATTACGCAACAGAAGGAGCCTGACCTAGTAAGAAGTTGTTCTGTTTTCTTGTCTTCTTGCTCGGGTAAATGTTGTCCCATAACCGGTACAACTGAATTGAAATGGTTTTGTAGACTCTTACCAATCGACCATTAAAAGATTAAAGAACTTTATTTTGCCTTCTTGAGGTTTTATTAAATATTCAACAGTGCAACTATTAATTGGTCTATGAACAATAAACAGATGTTGCTCAATAACCCTAGCAGTGTATTCGTTGCCGAAATAACTTATACAATATAAATCTTAGCTCTCCCGTAGTAGTAGTTCATCGGGGAACTTCTTATTAATGGTCTACAAGTTGATGCAATGGAGAATCTTTTGCGATATTGATAATTGTTTTTAATATCTCGTGACTGAATTTAAGTTTTGTATGTGTCGAATGTGATTAAAGGATTAACAATCTTAATGCAATGGTTATTATCTAAATATTCACGTTCTCTAGTTAGACTATATAGTACCGTATACTTTAGATAAACGCTGTCACGTGACAAAGTCGAAGCCGTCAGAAGCCTCCCTGGACATAACATTATACCATCTTCCAAATACTAGACTAAGTTACACAAACTGAAACCTTTTTATCGTTCAAGTGTTCAATATTGTAATGTTCAGTGTAAAGACAGTGTATTTCTTTATTTCAGAAAACAATGACTAAAAACTTGAAATATTTACTACGCAGAGGGTTCGAGCCTCTGGCATCCCTTCTCAATAATTCAGTTACACATATTCACCATACAGGGGTGTCCCAAAGAAAAAGGCAACCAAGTTAGACCTCTCCTCTACCAGGAACCTGTTCATTTGGCTCATTTGTTTTTCTGTCAGATAGGCACTGATTGAATTTTTTAAAGAGCTTATGGAGCTGCTGCTGAGCAAATTCATGCTAAGTGTTCTGGGCATTAGCTTGATTGAATATTTTGTTGTATTTAGTAATGTTATAATATATTAAGATAAGGTAATATTTTAGGATGGATTGGATCTCAGTTGTCCGTCAGTCATCAGGCTTACGTTAATGTATTTTTGCCTTACTAATGAGTAAATGTACGACTAGCAAATATCTTAAATTTCTCTGGTAGGCTCAAATGTTTCTAGCTCTCCCGCGCTTGAGATAACAACTCTTTTGGCAGTGCAATCACACATTTTCACAGTATTATAGGACCCTAAGTAACAAGTTGTGTATAATGAGCGGCAATTGTAATTTGCGGATAACACTGGGCAAATGTTTGAATCAGTTCGCACCATTTATTGAGAGCAGTAGCTATACATTATATATAATGCTATAGTATATATACTATAGCTATATATATACTAGCTACAGTTTTATTATCGTGTCAGTGTCACTTCTGACAAACTCAAAATTGTCTGATATTTGAATAAAGTCGTATCAACTAGGAACATATGTTTTTCAAGAAGTTACCTTTTCTTCAATTCTATTGACTGACTCACGAAATGTTGCATTAACAAGCAGCAGCTGGCGTTCTCAGAGAGAAATAGAGAGAACCATCTGAAGTTGCTCTCACTCAGATGGGCGGTACATAGCGCCCATTAAACAGTATACACTCATTTATCAAACTCGGGCAGTTTGAACAGTTAAGTCTGTGCTTCCTCCTCTAAGTGCTGCATGGAATCACACACTACATCTCTTTGAATATAATCCATGATGTTTTGTGGTTTTGTCGAACTTTATTCACCACAGTAGGAATCATTCAGCAGCTTTAAACCACTAATTCTCCCACAATTAGTACTGAAAAATTTCCTTTTTTCCACAGATTGTCGTTGTTGTTTATTGTTTATTTATAACTGCATAGCTCCTTGGTTCCCTAGTTTTAGATAGGTCACGTACGCTATCTGATCTTTCTGGCTCGGTGCAAACAGTAAACGAGTTCGTATTTAAATATTTGAGCTTCTCAACATTTCAAGTTTTAACCTCTGACTATTTCACTTATCAACTATATAAGTTGTGACTAATCGGAAGTGTTCAGAGTTGACAGTGATTATGTCTATCTTATTATGGGGGCTGTTTTACACTATCATCGTTGCAACTACGTCAATAGAATTGGAAGGTAGGAGAACTTCTGTACAAAATTATATGGTTACTAAACTTTTTAATAAACATTTTTATTCGATTTTGAAAATCTTGAACCTGGAAAAATCGTCAAAAAACGAGGTCCAAGATTTTCAAAATCGAATAAAAATGTTTCTAAGGCCTATCTTCTAAGAATCTCTTAAATGGTCCTTAGAACATATCCTGAAAGTTTCAAGGTGATTGCTTAGACTCGATTATCAGGGCGCGCGATTGAAAATCGCGCGCCATTTTGCACATGAGTGCTGACTTTTGACCGGCGATAACTTCGGCTAGGAACAATATTTTTCCATGGGACCAAAAGCACTGATAGATATCACTCTCCTCTATCGGAAACAACTATAAAATCAATTTCGAGAGAAATTTTATAAAGTTCCCCCCTGCCCCCTTTAATCTGCAGAAACTCCAGAAAACTGTGAAATAGTGGAAGTGAGAGACTACCTGAAGCTGCAGTGCAATATAAACGGAACATCTTACTACAAATGTACCCATTCTGATATCTACTACCAAGTACCTATTGAACTCTGTGATTTTCAGGTGAGCTGTCGAAATTAAGGGTTTTTCAACTTCATCAAGGAAATTTCTAGATGCTTATTCCGCATTTAATTTGTATAAAATTATTCCAATTACAGGAGCACACAGCAATCTGTGAGAATGATCCGGGATTCTATCAAGTTTGTGGTCACGTGACATGTCCACAGTACCAGTATCAGATGGATGGTCCCATGCTCTGTGGCTCCTTCATGTGCCACTACTACCAGGAGCTCACGTGGTATCAGAATGAATATGGGGAATGGTGGCAGAGACCTGGTTACCCTAGAAACGTCAGTCAAGGTAAATAATATTAATGATGTGATTTCGTGACAGGATCGTTCAAAACATAGTTGAAAACTCCAAACCTATATATGGCCCCATGTCTCCGCACCAAATAGCAATATGTTCAGGAGGAAACGAGATGACGTATAATTTCCACTGCGATGGTAAACCTTCTTGCAGCAACACACAAGTGGATGAACAAGACTGTCCCGAGGAAAAGTTCGTGTGTAATGAAAAAGAGGAGGAAGAATATGTAAGTAAAGATATCAAAGCCTTTAAATTAGAGAATCTGTCGGAAAGGTTGAGGATATCATGGTCATACACGACATTTTGAAATTATGCTTATTTTTTAACTGCGAAAATATTACCAATAATTGTAATGGTTTCATTCCACAGGTTGACGCAAGGGAAGTATGTAATAAAGAATGCAAATGCTATTTATGTGAAGACGAAGTTGCATGCAGTAAAGAGTATCAGAATTATGGGATTCTCTGCAAGAATACTTTTAACATGAGGATTGGTTTTATAATTTGGTACGCCCCCTATGTGCCCCCTGCTGTCCTATGCGACGGTTATCAGGACTGTTTAGATGGTTCAGATGAAGCCAACTGTATCGGAACTGAAACCTGCACAAGCACTGAAAATCTCGGATCACAGACCTTGACCCTCATTCAAAGAAACAGATGCGCAGTTCCCAACGAGCTTTATCTTGTTTGCCAGGATTACAGAGATCAATTGAACTGTTCTCATGTTTTAGAGTCCCCACTACTCTGCAAAGTTAATGGCTTTATGACAACTGTTTCACGATATGCACTGTGCCAAGAAACCAGTTTGTGTGACAATGGACTTGATAGGAATTGTGATGCCGCAGAGGGTGGGTGTGTGATTCACAAGCATCAATTTTGTGATGGACACAAAGATTGTCCAGAAGGCAAAGACGAAGACAACTCCATTTGTAAATCTTTGACAAAACAGACTTGTGAAAGAAAATTCTCCAGCAGTACACCGAGAACAGAACAGCTGATACCTCTTAGCTGGGTTGCAGATGGAGTAGAGGATTGTTTGAATGGGAAAGATGAAGATAAAGACTCTTGGAAGGTCTGTGGACGAGGATGGAGTAAAAGATACGTTGATTCTAGAACTTCTTGTTCTGACGTTTTCCTTTGCTCCAACATTTCCGAAGCCTTCGAAGAATATGGTTATCTTTGTGACAGAACAGGTACTTGCGATAAAGAAACTGACATTTGTGAAGTCTCAAGAAATCTCCCAAAGATACCAAATCAGGTGATAGTGAGACATGAAGGACAGATGTTTATAGGTCACCATATACCAGGATTAGAGAATCTGGAGTTGAATCCTAATCTCGACAAACACTTAACCACACAGTACACTTCACCAGATGAACCATTTGGAGTACCACAACAGCTTATAACAATTGCAATGCCATCTACATTTCACTCTGACTGTCGTTTTGCTTATGGAGAGCTTTACGTGTACCTTAGTTGCAGTGGATTTTGCTCCAAAGCCTCTTGCATTTTGAAGCCCGTTAAATTTGACTCTTGTCACAATATCAAGGACAATAGGGTGTTCACATTAAGCGGTAAAAACTATCTGACAGTTGCTTCAAAGAAGAAAGGAAACTATGTTAGCAACCTTTTTCCCTGTAATAATGGTTATTGTGTTACATACGATAAGGTTTGTGATCTCGTTGACAACTGTGGAGATGGATCAGATGAAATCAACTGCTTGAATCATTTTAAATGTAAAGAAACTGGAGAAATTATACCACTGAACAGCGTTGATGATGGCCAGTATGATTGTGAGGATTTTTCAGATGAATGCTCATACACTAAATCTATTATTGATCAACCGTATCTTTCAGTAATTTCGTGGATTATTGGCGTTCTCGCCACTCTGTTCAATGTCATAATTTTCATGAGATCAATTACTCAGTTGGGGGATTATGTATGTCCATCAAAATTCCTAAACAGATTGATGATTCTCCTAATCTCACTCGGAGATCTGATGGTCGGACTTTATCTAATCGTCTTATCTATTGTAAACATTTTCCTCAAAGACACATACTGCAAAGAGAGATTTCTCTGGCTAACGAGTGGGTACTGTGCTGCTATGGGGATCGTGAGTTCCACTGGGTCGCAGATATCACTGTTTGCTATGGTAGTGTTAAGCTTGGGTAGGTTTATGACAGTAGGAAGAGTGGGACCAGGCGGAAATGGAAGCAAAAGATATAAATGTATTGCAATAGTACTGGTGGTGGTCGTGTTACTCGCATCTTTCTTGATATCATACTTGCCACTCTTAGATAGACTGGAGGACGTTTTTGTTAATGGACTTTACTACGACAAGCGCATTAAACTTTTTATAGGTGCTCCTTCAAAGCAAAAACATATTGCAATCTTGGAAAAGTACTACTCAAAATTCAGAGGAAACCCAAATCTCCCGTGGTCTACCGTGAGGCGTCTAGTCAGGAACATGTTTTCTCAGGACTACGGTGGAGTCAATGGTGTGAAGCTGCACTTTTACGGAAATGACGGGGTCTGTCTGTTTAAGTTCTTTGTAACTCCAGAAGATCCTCAAGCCTTCTACACTTTGACGATTCTTGTAATAAACTTTGCATGCTTTTTCATAATAACCTCTTCGTACGTCTTAATTAACATCGTGTCCATATCTTCTTTAAGATACTTGGGGGAATTCTCAATGCCCGAAGGAGCTGTTCGAAACCGAAGTTCTTCATTGCAACGGAAATTAACAATGATCATTTTGACAGATTTTTTCTGTTGGGTTCCATTTATCGTTGTTTCTACATTACATTACTTTCTAATTGTAGATGCAACATCCTGGTATGCAACATTCTCTATATTGATCCTGCCTATCAACTCCGTCATCAATCCTTTACTTTACGATCCCTACCTTAGTACACTATTAGAAAAACTTTGGGTATCCTCAAAGAAGCTGGTAAAAATTCACAGTTCACAATTTATTGAAGAAACCGTAGACAAAAACACAATAACACAAAAAGAAATTAATAGTCGCGAGGTCTCTCTGCCAGAAAATACCACCTTTCCCATAAAGAATGAGAGGGTTTCTAGGATTTCCATACTATCTCCTCCACCTCTGCTCCCCAGAGCTGAGCGCCATGCTCTTCGGATGAAGAGACGGATAACTGCATCAACCATGGTTAATGCATCAGACGAGGTCCCGAATACAAAGGAGATATGTGCAATACCTGAGACGGATGCTTAAAACTACATTTGCCGAATGTGTATTCTGTGAGGAGTTAAATTAACCTATATAATCGTCCCATTTTATGAACGGTCATAATTTTATTTT